TATTACTATTACGGAAACAATTCAGCCTCTCAGTTGGTCTTACCTGATGGCTGCCGTATACTTTGCTCTAGCATTTCTGTGAATCGGGAAAAAAAGGAAAGAAAAGAAAAAAAAGTAGTTATTAACTTATTAACTTATTACTACTTATGGACTTAATATGAGCTGACTTGCGAATGACCTAAAAAAACAGATGATTCGGCTGTTATCTTACGCAAGGTGACACAGTCAATCGTCCAGTGAAAAGGAGTAATCTACTAATCATACTAATCAATGCTGTTCAGGGACCCTTCTCGCACATGTGGTTAAACCAGGGGTGTTATCTTCGGCGAATTTTGCACCGAAACTGTCACAAATGTTTGGATCACTAATGAAATTTCGTTGAATTCGTTGGACGATTCATTTTAACTCGGACAGACGAATTTCGCACCGAGATTGTCAGTGGAAATGGCGAATATTTGGCCCTCCGTTAACCATCTCTCACGGCAGGGGGCGTGCGTGAGTCCAATGATGTAGTTCTGCCGTTAGGACTTGCCTAGGGAACAGGAACCAGACTTCGGCTCCCCAGAATGGATATGGAGCCAGGACCATAAGGACCTGTTTTATCAAAAGCAACAACAAAAAAAAGGTACTTATTACTATTAACTAGTATTAAGTTATTAGCACTTATTAATACTTATGAAAGTTAACATGAGCTGACTTGCGAATGACCTCAAAAGTCAAAACAGACGATTTGGCTGTTATCCTATTTATGACAGCATATCCACACTGTCAGATTCAATACTGGGTCCGGCAGCTGCGCCTCCTCCAAGGCTAAAGCTACCTGACCTGTTTCCATGTCAGAGACAGCAGGGCAGTCATTGCAGGGGGGGAAAAAGAAAAAAGAAAAAGAAAGGGACCCTTCTATTTAGGGGGGCACCAGTCCGGTTACTGATCCCCGGCAAGCGTAGCAAAAATATGTTTTAAGCAAAAAACTGCGAGGATTTTACCCCTCGGCATACCTGCATAAGTCCCCTGCAGCAGACGCGTACCCTCCCTAAGTGAAGGCGGGCCTCTGAATCCCCAACAATGACCCCTGAATTCGTCTTGCTTTTGCAAAGCCCTGGGTGGGCGCCAGAGAGTTGCCACACGCCAGTTGGTTACATCCATCCGCCTTGCTTGTGAGAATCTGAAATATCCGTGAGCCTTTGAGGGTCTTCCAGCAACGTGGGGAAAGCAGAGAACACTACCCGTTTGCGCCTGGGTGGTTGGGCCTTCTTAACCAATTCGGTCCCCGGCCACTGTCTGAACGGGCCTGGGCGCAGACACTTGGGCGCAACGACAGGCTAGAGGACACACACACGGCCCAGCCAGGCAGCAAAAGCTGCGAGCACTTTCCATTTAGGAAAGTGCCCGCCTAGGAAGCAAGCATTCAGGCACTTGGCAGTGCGTGCGGCAGCGCTGGAGCAAGTGCTTGCGGCTGCTGATGCACGCGGGCATCTGGAGGAGAAGGGCGCTGCAGAGAGGCAGCGCCATAGCCAGCCCTCATAGTCGGGCTAGGCGTGGAGAAGGTCAGCGGGGTACGGTGGTGGTCTTCGGGTAGAAGCGGAGATGTGGGAGAAGAAGACGAGGGTGAGCACTGGAGAAAGAGACGAGGGGGATGATGTGAGAGTACGTAGTACCTGGTCTTGGTGGAAGTCTACAAGGTCGGCATCTGCATGTACTTGGGTGGGCTAGTTTAGTAGCTGTGTGATCGTCGTCTGGGCGCTGAGTGCCAAGTAGGAGGCCGATCTTCGAAGACATTGTTGGTGGTGGCGAAGTGTATGCTTTCATTGACAATTGAGATCGTTGCTTTGGTTCTCCTTCTCTGTGTTATCAACTTATCAGTGCATTTCTGCTTTCTGGACAGCTTTCGGCTATCTGGCTTTCAAATTTCAATGTGATTTCGCAATCTGAAATTCTGTCATTTCGCTATTTCTCATCTTCCTTGCAAGACAGAGAAGAATCAAAAGATATAGAAAGGAAATCTCAGGGATCCTACAGTCGGGAGACCCTCTCTGGTACCCACTCACTGCAGTAGACCATGGAACTGTCCATGAACACCTCCCAACTCCAGTGCCCCTTCCCCCCCCCCCCCCCCCCCCCCCCCCCCCCCCC